CAGGATTTTTCTGCAGGAATCACCATGATGGCAACAGATACTGATTAGTTCTGAATAAATACCAGAAAATTGAATCTATTCATTTTGTATTTGAGGCAATCAATTTTAAACGTTTGTCTTTGTAAAAACTCTTAATTTGTGTAGGTCTTGAAGCCATTTCTATTACGTCGCATAAAAGGTGAAGTAGAAAAGAGTTTGCCTCCAAAGAAAGAAGTAAAAATTTATCTTGGGCTCAGCAAAATGCAGAGAGAATGGTGAGTTATTTGCATCAAAGTAAGATTCTTTTCTGATAAACAGTATAGCTCTTCACACTCTTACTTTTTTTTCTTATAGTTGCATGTTGAGACGGCCAGATAGAGAAACCTGTTTATAGCACTCTTTGGGGCTTTGTAAAAAAATGCACGACTTACAAAGAGCTCAGGAAGGGTAATGAAAAGAGCTGGGAGGAGGACAGCAGAAACCTTTTTTTCCCTTCCTTAATTTTATTTGAAAGAACATAAGGCCTCCTAAGTTTCCTCCTTTGATCCAAGTATGTATGCACCAGTAAAAGTCTTACCTGAAATTAAAATAAAACCTTGGGGAGCTGCATATCCAGAAGAGATGTGAGAAAAGGAGCCAGGTCAGTGTAGCAGCTTCTGTCAACTAAGTGATATATTTAATCTTCTTTGTACTACTAAAATGGAAGTGTAAGATAACCCAGTAAATGACAGATCATTGTCACTCACAGACAACTTGCCTTTCATGTTTAGGTATGGATTTAAAAATCCTTATTATCAGTCAGATGTTTCTGCCAAGTTTCTTAATAACATAGCTCATTGTTAAATAAACAAAGCAAACTCCCCTATCCAGAAATTAGTTACTGGGATATTTCAGAGTTTCACTCATGTTTTATATGTCAAATAAAAACCCAAGAGTTTTCAGAATTGCCTTTAAAACTCCAGGTATACAAGGATCCTGATGAAAGATATTGATATCCTGAATTCAGCTGGGAAAATGGATAAGATGCGTCTGCTGAATATTCTGATGCAGCTGCGGAAATGCTGTAACCATCCTTACCTGTTTGATGGTGCTGAGCCAGGTCCTCCTTACACCACTGACACACATCTCATCACCAACAGTGGGAAAATGTTAGTTCTGGATAAACTGCTGGCGAAACTCAGAGAGCAGGGTGAGTACTGTTTGTGGACAGCAGTGAGCTGAATTGCTCCTTGTACATAAAACTGCTTTCAAAAATAGCACAGATTCATTCTTGTCTTTCCTCCAGTGAATGCATTCATTACTTTCAGTGAGGATTTTGTTGAAAATTAATTTTCTGTAGATCTTAACACGCAGAGGGAAAGAAGTCCTACAGGAATGGTGAGCAAGACTAATAATATGGAGAAGTAGAAGAGAAGGAAGAATAGAGCGTCCCTTCTCCTTTCTTTAAGAAAATTTCTGAGAGGATTAGTTTGTCTGTTTGCATCAGTCATCATCTAATTATCTTGCAGTGGTTTGAAGTGTTCTGTTTCTGTGGTTGTGTGTTTCTCTTGTATAAATGATGAAATAATCTGTCTTGGGGAGTTAAATCAATACCAGAAGAGTAGCTTTGGAAGAAAAACTTCTTTGAGTGAGTTAGACTCAGTACAGAATATTTCACATAAATTCTCACTTGTGCTGTATAGTAGGCTCTGTGATAAGATTAATGTGAAAACATAAATCAACAACAAAACCTTCTGTGTTCTGTCAGGTTCAAGAGTTCTACTTTTCAGTCAGATGACTCGTTTACTGGATATTTTGGAGGACTATTGCATGTGGCGTGGGTATGAGTACTGCCGACTCGATGGACAGACACCACACGAAGAAAGAGAGGTGGGAAAGCTGTTTATAAACAAATGCCTTTGGTTTGCATATTAGATTATTAAGAAGTTCTTATTTGCATATGTGTACAGTGACATAATTGTTTAAAAGCAAAAATGCTGCAGTTTTAAAAGACTGCAAAAGACTGCCAAGGGTGTATTTTTCTAACCAAAGTCCACAGTCAAGTACATTTAATTTGTTCCCCAGCTAAATGAAAAATGTAATATATTGTGGACTCAATATGGATTTTTCCACCTGTGCAAACCTACAGTTTCTTACTTCGATAGATTATTTTTTATGTGAAAATTGTGTACATTTAAAAGAATTTCATTGAAAAGCCATCAATGTATTGGAAACGTGTTTGAAAACTCTGATACTTTAACAGTGTGAAGGCATACAGCTGGACTGTAGGCCTGACGAATGAGAGAACATTGACCTTGATGAGATAAGTCTGCACCTGTGAGACTAACGAGGTTGAAAACATGTCTTGAGAAAGGACTGTAAAAAGAGGATGATTAGTCTGTATCCATGAGAATAAGGAGGCAGATATCCTGAGAGGAATACAGAAGATCTAGATAAGAAGAGAATATTTTGGGATAGTTAATGAGGGCACACAGAAGCAACTGTTAACCAGTAAATTAAGCATTACCACATCACTAGCTAATAGGTAGTTAACACTGTGTGTGAAAGTGTATTGAAGAAGCAGTGTAGAAATGGTGAAACATTACATATATTGGAATTAAAGTTTTGCTGTCGCCACACATCCTGTGTCTTGACTGTCTACATTCACAGTGATGTCTGTGACATAACTGCATCTTCTTTTTTTTCCTTTTAGGAAGCAATAGACACATTTAATGCTCCCAACAGCAGTAAATTCATTTTCATGCTGAGTACCAGAGCTGGAGGTCTTGGAATTAATTTGGCAACTGCTGATGTGGTTATTCTCTATGATTCAGATTGGAACCCTCAAGTAGATCTGCAAGCCATGGTAAGTTAACTCCCTGATACACGTTTGTTTGTTTGTCATTGTTCTATTATGGATAACTGTTTTCAGAATTTGTAGTTTTGTTACTTTCCTTTACTTTTTGTATACACAAGACAATACCAAGAAACTAAGGAATTGGATAAAAAGGGCATGAACAGAGTTTGTGGAAGAAACTGTAGATTTTTGTCTGTAAATATCTGTCTTAATGATTTTTATAATGACAGATTACTTGTATCAAAATACTATATCAATATTGTTTATAGAATTATAGAACTATTCTTAATTCTGTCTTTCCAGAAGAGAGCAGTAAACAGATAAGAGGGCTGTTCCCAAAATGACAACAAATAATTAAAAGCATGCAGCCTTATATTCCTCTCATTTGGGAAGTTTATGCTTTTGCAACCCATATTGTTTCTGCAGAAGCATAAAACCATTCAGTGGTGATGCCAGGAGCGAAAAGAAGTTATCTTTGAGTTAAACATACTGAAGTCCTTTCTCTCCGAGTGCTGAATGTAAAAAAAAATAGTCTAATTTGTTTCATGTGGAATAAAAATCACATGATCCTTCCTGCATGATTGGGAGGGATTTGTTCAGTGGTTTGTATTGTTTAATTTGTTTTAATGCACTTAAATACATCAAATATTTCATGTGAATAGCTCATCCTTTCCCTATTCATGCTGACTGCCAGTAGCAGACCGAGTTCCTGGAAACTGATGAGTGTGATTTGTGAACTTTTGTAGGGTTTTCAGGAGGAAATTAATATTGTGCAGGAGACTAAAAGATTTAAGAACTGGTGTTTAAAGTACAGGTAGAAAATCCTGGTACCCACAGCTTGAAGAACAGTTGTTTAATTTTTTTATTTAAAAGGACAAAATACTTGTATTTGTGTTTTCCAGAGAGGATGAACACAAGTTCTGTTACAAAGAAGTATAGTGTGTCAGTCAGACCTCATTTGCTGTGTTGTCCCTGTATTGTGTGAGCTGCATATTGATGCTTGGGACAAGTGCAGTATTGAAGCTGTGGCTGCATGAACTTTGCCCGAAGAATTAATATGCTCCAACCAGGGATGCTGAAATTTCACTACCTGTGCCAAGTGAGAGAATTAGTTTGAAAGCAGTGCAAGTGTGGGTGTTGTATGTACTGCTCTATCTCCACTTCCCAGCTGCAGTCTAGACAGACATTCAGTTATCTTCATTTGCAATGAGATTGATGCATTTTTTTTGCTGTAGAGTAACTCAAATGTGGAAGGTGTAATATGCAGGTGTAAGTAAAAATTACTGGTTTCACATTTTTGTATGCTCTCGAATAGGCAAGGAACAAGAAGTACATGCTAGTTTCAGTCTGCTGTTTCTGCAAGCTAACCGTGTATTGCTTGTGAGTTCTTGTTGCTGAACACTCCTTGATTTGTGTTTGTTAGGATCGTGCGCATCGTATTGGTCAGAAGAAACCAGTACGGGTGTTCCGACTTATCACTGATAATACTGTTGAAGAGAGGATTGTAGAAAGAGCTGAAATAAAACTGAGGCTGGACTCTATAGTTATACAACAAGGTATCAACTGCTGTATATGTTTGTCTGCAACAGAATTGTTCAGTCCCTTGGAGTATGGTTAAATAGCTGTACAGATGTACAGTATTGAAGAAAGCAGGCCTTGTGTGTAATAGCAGTGTACTAAATGCTCCTAAGAAACTAATGTATAAGTTAGTCACTTGTTCAGCTGAGTTTTTTGTAGAATTCTGTTTCATGTGGACCTATACTAAGAGTCTAAATGGAGAAAGTAAACTACAGCTGAATAGATCTTACTTGGTTTTGTGCTATGTTAAAGATTTTAAAAAAACAAAGGAGAAAAGATATGTTCCATGGCAGAGCAATTAATTCTATACATAGACTTTGTACCACATACGAGTTTACTGAGCATTAAAGCTGCTCTCTGCATTTGTTTAGAAGCTCTTGGAAGAATAGTTTGTTAGAAATAAGGCACTGAAGCTAAGTTTTGAAAGTTGGTTGTATTTCCTAAAGGGTGGGCTACTGAGAGGATGATGGTCAAAGTTCTGATGGCATGTGAAGAGATGGGATAGGATAAGTGAAATTTTGGGGCAGAAATTTGAATTTTGGGGAAAATACTCAGAAAATTGTGTTGAAATCAGTAAAGTGAGTGTTAAAAATATCAAGTACTTCTTAATGGTTATTGCAGAATAGTTTGTCATTTTTCATCTTGATATAAAATTGTGATCTTAAAAGTTCAGCTAACTTTTTGTAAGAATAAGATATTAAATGTCAAACTTGAACTATCTGAATGTGAAACATTTTATGTTGTGGCTTGATCTTTTTATTTTGCCTGAAGTTCCTGATTTTCATTTATTCTCGTCTTGAGTGAAATGTAATTTTTCTGTATGATTGTTCTGTTTTTCCTTTATTGTTCTGTCAGTGAACGAAAAAAATTCCACGGTTTTCGTGGTCCTACTAGAACTCCCATACTATAACTTTGAACATATTTCTTCTAATTTTAGGAAGGCTCATAGACCAACAGTCTAATAAACTGGCAAAAGATGAAATGCTGCAGATGATCCGGCATGGAGCCACGCATGTTTTTGCTTCCAAAGATAGTGAGCTGACAGAAGAAGATATAACCACTATTTTAGAAAGAGGTGAAAAGAAGGTTAGAAAAGAGTTTCATATGGAATTCAAAATGTGTCAAACATGTAATATATAAGCACAAAATGGATGTGAAATCCAATTATGTAAATCTAATTTTATCCCCAATTTTTACTTTACTATTTGTATGTATTTGAAATCTTATGAAAGTTTGAAGGAGTAGAATTAGTGAGTTCTGATTATTTTCAAAGCTCAGACTGTGTGCATCATGTCTTAAGCACTGTTTATTTTGTGGGCTTTTAGAAAGATGTAAATTTAATGCCAACAATTCTAATAGGCACAAAACCTTTATGGAATTTCATTAAGGAATAGATAGCTCTATGGAAAAATGAACTATCATTTCAAGAACTTGGGCATAAATTTATTTTAAATGTAAAAGTTAAATCCTGCAGTTGTAGGACTACATCCCAGCGTAATAAATTTAGTTTAATGGAAAGTCTCGGAGTCACACTGTTCTGAATTGAAAAGCACAATGGGCATCTCTCTTTACAAGAAAATGTAAGTAGAAGTTTAAAGCAGAAAAAGACATTGAGAATGTTGTAGTAATGATGGAAGCTGTTTTTTTCAGAAAAGATAAAAAGCTTGAGTGAGCCTAAAAGTATCTTCCTCTCTTTTTAGACAGCTGAAATGAATGAACGATTGCAGAAGATGGGGGAGAGCTCCTTACGAAATTTCACTATGGACACAGAGATGAGCTTATACAACTTTGAAGGTGAAGATTATAGAGAAAAACAAAAGGTAATTTTTCTTAGTCTTTAAGACTTCGCTTTGGAGGTGCAAGCGTAAAGGCCATACTAGAAGTGTTATGGCTATGAAGGTTACTCTAGAGAAGTGAGAAGCTATTGAAAAATTCACTTGGCTCTGCAGAAGCATCAGTATTCTGAATTTTTGTTAAATGAGCTTTCATCCCCGCTGTTTGGGTTTTTTTATGGTAAAATGTGATAATATTGCTCAAATTTTATCCTTTCTGCAGCAAAAATACCATGTTCCATCCTACTAGACTGCTGCAAACAGTATTACTTTACTGTCACATAACTGAGGGGAAAACCCAGGCCTGATAATGATTTTATATGTGGATCTTGGACTTTAGTCTTCCTTTCCAGTGAAGGTTTTAGTCACAAGCATTAATGTAAACTGTACATGGATTTACCTAATTATAGAAGGATCATCCTTACAAACAGGTATTACTCGGGGTCCCACAGTGTTCCCTCTGTGTCTCTCTTTTGTATGGGACATATAGAGAAGATATCCTTAAGGTCTTAACTGGAATCAGATATGTGAATTCTTATTTGTTAACTACTAAATGCCCTTCTAACCCAGATTTCTTACAGATTTTGAACAAACGTTTAGAAAAATTGTTTAATGAGAATATAGTGCAGTGTCTGTGTATACATGAGATTCTTTCTTCATATTGATAATGTAATTAAAAGAAGTGAGGTAACTGCAGCATAGTCTAAAAATACATTTTAGTAACTTCAAATGATTTAGTTAAGATTAATTTACTGCTAATGGATTACTTTTTTGTCTGTGCTGTAGCCTAGGTTATTCATTCATGTGTAGAGGTTATTCATTGTGATATTTAGAGGAGTAGCAATTCATACCACAAGAAATTACAGAATTAGAGGCCAAATCTTCAGCCCTTCTGTTGTGTTTTGGTAGATGGAATCATAACTTGAGGTGTCTGAAATACCTAGAATGCTGTAACAGGATCTGTCTATTGAAGAATGGCTAAGGGAACAGGGGCACAGCTCCCAGAGAGCATTGTGCGAGCAAGAGTCGAGCAAAGGTCTATGGGAGCTTTGAGCATATAACTAAGAAGTAGGCCTCAGGCATTTAGCTTCTCAGCCTTAGAAGTTATTTTTGCAGCATAATGTTGCAGCCAAAGGACAAGCTATCTGGGAAAGCTCAGCAATGTTGCAAACCCAAGGATGAACTATTCCGGGAAAACAAAGGATTCTCCAGAAAACAAAGACTTCTTCACAGCTGCAGCTGCAAGCAAACATAGTATATAAATGTAACCTGTAGAGCTCAGGTAATGCTAAAATGAATAATAGGTATAGTTGTCCTGCAAGCTAAGAAAGTATACAAATGTAACTTTTAGGGTTTAGGTAATGGTAAAGAGAACAGTAAGCATAGTTGTTCATGCACTGTATAAAAGATGGGCGATCGCTTACAATAAAGGAGTCTTGCTGGACACCATCGGGTGCGCATTTCTCCCGTCGATTTCCCACATCTATCCTTGCCACTTGCATTGCATTGTGTACTATCTTTTATGTGTTTAAATACCTGCTATAATCGGCTATAATTTCTATCTTAATTTTGGGCTTTATTTTCGTATCCAAATTATTGAGCACAATGGTTAGATTTGCCATGCAAAAATACTTTCCTGTTTTGCAGTGCCACATTAGTCATTATTCTTGAGACTTTAGCAAAGTGTACAGTTACTTTAATTCCTTTCTCTTATTTTCTGCACATAGCTGAGCATGATGGAATGGATTGAGCCTCCAAAAAGAGAGCGCAAAGCTAATTATGCAGTTGATGCTTATTTCAGAGAAGCTCTGCGTGTTAGTGAACCAAAAGTCCCAAAGGTAAGAACTTGGCAACTATGGAGGTTTTTATGTTGTTGTTTTGCTACTCCTCTCCCATGTTGCAGCCTTTGCTCTCACCCTATATCTTTACAAAGTGCTAAGTTGCCAATGCTGCTGAATTATGGCAGTTTATTTGCACAGTAGTCAAGCTTATATAATGTTAATGTATCTGTGTATCTTTGAAGGCTCCACGTCCTCCAAAACAACCAAATATCCAGGATTTCCAGTTTTTCCCACCACGGTTATTTGAACTTCTGGAAAAAGAAATTTTGTATTATCGTAAGACTATAGGATATAAGGTAATGCTTGTTTTTCCCCTTCAAACCAGTGAAATGTATTTGTATTCCTCTTTGCAGATTTACTGCAACCTTGACTTGTCAAGTTACTGTGAAAGAAATGGCTCAAAACCTCTATTCCCCAGTTTCTGTTCCGCTGTGGAGCAGAAAAAGTAATCTGTAATTCTTTCCTTCACTAAAAATTTCGTATCTCTGTAGCTTCATGTTTTGTGTTGGGTTCATAGCAATAAAATAAAGTAGAAAAAGGAAGGACAGTCCTGATGCTTCATATACTCATACTCAAAAGTGTAATATGTGGTCTAAAGTGAGAACATTTCTGGCTAACATAAGGTCACCTTCCAGAGCATGATTTTTCTCTTTAAAGCTTTTGTATGTCTTATGCAGAAAGTAACTTATACTGACTTTGTGTTGATAGAAAGGTAAGTAAAATGTCATCAATTTTCTTTGCATTTTGCTGGGATATAAAATGTTCAAAGGTGTGGAGAAATCTGAATGTATTACTACTACTAAAAGAAAACCAGACAGCAGACTTTTCTTTCTGACATTAGTGGACCAGCAGTGAACACAGATTCTGTTTTAATGTTTATTGTCCTTACTTGTGCCAGCATTGGCTGAGTAAATCAAATAGATCCTCTGCTTCTAGACATGTCTGTAACTTGCTTTAAAAAGCCCCAGGTTTCATGTCAGGTTGCAGCAAGAAGAAATCACCTATAAAATGTGTTGGTGAACATAAACTTGTCATACAAAGCAGCAGATGGAAAATTGGTGTTGACAAAGAGTAAAATAATATTAGCAAAATATATTTATAAGAAAAAGCAGAAGGTGCCTTAGAATCTAGTTTGAAGCAAGAAGAGTTTTATGTGGATGGCAGGATAGAATTAAGCATTAAAGGGAGTATAATTAGCTCAGGGAAAGAATTTATTCAATTAATGCTCCAACAAAGAAAGATGAGAGAATTGCTAATGTTGACAATATGCATGTGAAAAGAGCTGTGTTTCAGCCCTGCTAATGAAACCTGTCAGACTGTGTAGGCAGAACATGAACACTTGTTATCTTAAAAAGTTAGTATATACTGGCTTTTTGCTGGTGGTGAAAGGGATAAATTTGATTAAATCTGTTCTTCTTTGAAATGCAAGTATAACTTTCCATCTGCAGAGAGTTTATTATTAAAACTGAAAACTGCCATGAGCAATATCAGAAGGTATCAGATAGGTGGAGACCAAGCTTTAGGTGTCTGTCTTAATTTAACCCACCAAAGTCAAAAACACTTCTTAGACATTAAAACCAGCTGAACAGCTCTTAACTTCTGTTGCCTTTTGCTGCAGAAATATGTGAGGTCTGCAAAACCTTTACTGGATGCTGGTTTCTGACTCATTTGCTGTTGGTTGCCATGGAACTGCAATGCACAGTTTAAAGGTCACAAATACTAAATTGGTCAAGTGTGGAGAAGGACAGATAAAAAGTTGCTAGGCCTTGTTTGCATCGTGTTGTCTGTCTGGTCCTTACTTTGGCAGTGTGCATGGCTTTATAGTCAGCCTGGCAGAACTTAGTATTTCACTGTAGTTATGAAATACTATAAACCATTGGATGTAGGAGAGCAGGTACTTAGCTAATGAACAGTGCACTGAAAGCAGTGGATTGTGACAGCTTACAGTGGGTGAGGCTGTGCCTCTCACAGTGTCCCTGAGTTGTGTGTAGAAGTGGTGTGTACAGGGCGTAACCAAACTTACAACAATCATTTGACAAAATCTAGTCCTGGTTTTGGGAGGAAGTGTTTAAGCAGTAATATTTGAATCTAGGTGAAACACTTGGTAACTTGTACAGATCAGTGCTTTTAAAATACAGTCTTTGAAATAAACTTGTTGTTAGTAACAGTCTTTGAAATAACTGCACTGTTTGATACTGCTGATTCTAGGTCCCCAGGAATCCTGACCTTCCAAATGCAGCTCAGGTACAAAAGGAGGAACAAAAGAAGATAGATGAGTCTATGCCTCTGAATACTGAAGAAACTGAAGAGAAAGAAAAGCTTCTAACACAGGTAAAATAAAAGCAGGAGAAGTATTTCATCATATGTTTTTACTAGTATGGAGTATTAGTAGTACTTATGGTAAATACAGGAAAGCTACACTGACATTACTGAAAGAAGAAAGCACACAACATGTAATGATTTTGCTTGGGTTTGCATTGAGGGACCTTTCCTGCCCTTGAACAAATTTACATCTTAGTCACCTACTGTTTCCTTGAATGTCCTTGGGACGATTCTGAGGCAGGAACGTGTACAGTAGATGCACCACCCAGGAGTACGTGCAGAAATCTGCTCAGCTGGATTCTCCTGTATGCATATACCTTGCATGTTTGTTTTAATCTGAAAGGGCTTGAATCAGGACAAGCCTCTGTCAACATACATGGTGTTTATGCAGGTGTCTGAGGCATGTCACATCCATTAATTTGTCCCAGTCGAGTTGTTAGGCATGTTCTTTTTATACTGGGGCTGACTTCCTGTCACTGACTAGTTTCTTGACCTTTTGAACAGTTACCCTGTTGAATAGGTTTATTAAAGCTGTTCATTAAGGAGAAAGATGTGTCTGAAAGTGACAGGATTTTTTGATTCAGGAAGTTTTCTGTAAAAGAATTGAGCATAGTGTACCTTGGAAGAAAATTGCTAAATCACAATTTGACTATTAATTTCACCTATGTATAGCAGAAGACATATTTAAGCTGGTGCTGATATGCATATCAGTACTGCTGTTAATGATTAAAAAGAAACATTTGTATTTTGTATATTAGACTTGTTCTAAAGACGTCTAATTGTGGAGTGAGCTGGTTCAGCTGGAGAACTGACAGAGTTCCTTCCTTGTAAATGTATTTCTGTGATGAAGAAATTCAGTGCACTCAGATTACTGTTCAGGCATGTGATTGCCTTGTTTGCTTGTTTTTGATGTTTTCTCCTTTCCCCGTCTTTAAATTGTAGTGTCTCTTTCTTGGATGATGATTTTTTGCATTGTATCTCACTTTACTCTTGTTCAGTTTTGGATTGATTTCTTTGGTACATAACAAACTCTCCATTTGACAGTGCTGTAGAGTTTTCATTTGATTGCATCTTTTTGAACTAGAGGTTGTTTCTTGACGTACTTATGCTTTCATCCAGCTGTTTGTCTGGTTCCAGGTTTGTAAATGTCTGAAGTAGGAGCTCTTGCTTTAGATACTTGCACTGCTCTAAGAACTTGTAATGACACTTGCATTGCTGCATCCTGTACTCCTCAGCCATGTGTTGGTTGTTGAAGGGTGACTGTCATTGAGCTTGTTTCTTAGGAGAAATATCACATAAAGGCTAAAAAGAAAGAGTAAAAAGCTCTTACAAATGCATATGGAGTCATGCATGAAAATAACTTTTTAGACTTTTTATGATCCAGTAATAACCCCTGGAAAATACAAATTCATAGAAGTCTTAAAAGACCATTAGCCACTGTAATCACATGACATAGCAAAGGCTTTGCTAATTAGAGTAAATGGTACATACATAAATCAAAATTTTGCAAAATGTTTTTATTCTACCTAGTAATGCCTTCTTATCTCTTGCTGCTTACAGGGTTTTACAAACTGGAACAAAAGAGATTTTAATCAGTTTATTAAAGCTAATGAGAAATACGGTCGTGATGATATAGACAATATTGCCCGTGAGGTGGAAGGAAAGTCACCTGAGGAGGTCATTGAATACTCAGGTTTGTGATATTTTGAAATGTAATCCTTAATCACACATCATTTTTGCTACATGTTCTTTTACAATTACAAGATGCAGAATTTGGGTGTGTGTAAGAATTTTTTTTTTTTAAAATAGACTTGCTTGTTTTTCGGAAGGCTTAATTCTGTTAAAAAGGCTGAATTTGTGGCACATAAGTAACACCTGCAGCTACCTTTATCCCTCCTTAGTCAAAATTTAGAATTTGACATAGATAATTTGCATTGACAGCTTGGACTAGTGGAATTGTGGAGTTGCCTTATAGTGGCAATGTGATTCTTTATGCTGTTTCTCTGCTATTTTAGGTTGTACACAGTATCTTTGTATTTTATATTTACACACTACTTTTTAATTTGTACAGATTTTTCCTCTTTCATCCTTGGATGTAATTTTACTAAACACCTTCATAAAATTTAATTTTGCAATGTTCTTCCTGTAGTTAAGAAGGAACAGCTCCAGAGGAGTTCCCTTCAAGGTGTTGAATTTACTTTGTGTTGGCTAAAAGATGTCACTGGAGAAACCACAAATTGCTAGTTTTTCTAACACATAGACTAAGTAGTCTCTGACCTTAGAGATAGCTAGGGAGATAAAAATATCAATGTGTTTCCCTGCTAGACCAGCAGCTCTAACCTGTTTCACCATTGTTGTAAAAAGCAATCCTTAAAAGTAATTTTTTTCACAGTTTTGCATGACTACAATTAATTGTGTTGAATATAAGCTTTGTTCCAGTTTTTATTAGCCCTTCACTTGTAGTTAACTTTTAAAGGTATTGAATAAAAGGTCTGTGCAATTTACTTGACTAGCATGGCAAAAACAAGAGCACTAGCACATTTTTTAAGATTTAATGGAACCACAAGCTGCATTTTTTTTTTAGGTGGAGTACCTTAACTAAGAGTAGCGTGGGCAGAGGAAAAGATGATGTTTAACAATTTTGATTTGCATTTTTAGCTGTTTTCTGGGAACGTTGTAATGAACTGCAGGACATTGAGAGGATCATGGCTCAAATTGAACGAGGAGAGGCAAGAATTCAGCGGAGGATCAGTATCAAGAAAGCCCTCGATGCCAAAGTAATCATTATGGGAAAGGAGCAGTGGGGAATGGGGGTTCTGTCTTTTTCTGTAGCATATGTAGTTTGCATCTATCAGTGATCTACACTAGTACATAATAAATCCCTGATGTAATAGTGTGTGTTTAATTGTCATTGTTTTTGTTTTGCATTCAGATTGCGAGATATAAAGCACCTTTTCATCAACTGCGTATCCAGTATGGAACAAACAAAGGGAAAAATTACACAGAAGAGGAAGACAGGTTTTTAATATGTATGTTACACAAGATGGGCTTTGACAAGGAAAATGTGTATGAGGAGCTAAGGCAGTGTGTGCGCAATGCTCCTCAGTTCAGATTCGACTGGTTTATCAAATCCAGGACTGCAATGGTAGGTATCACCTACATGGACTGAGTCATTATATGAGATGCCTTTTTTTAAGAATTATCACATAAAGTTTGGATTTGTGCTGGGATTGGTGTCTAGGAAACAAGTGCTGAAAGAATATTTTCTATTTTTATAAAAATAACTTTTCCCATAGTACAGCAAACGACACAACTGAAATAAACAGATTAGAAAACCTGCCAAGCTGAAGTCCCATGTTATCCAAAGGGATTAATGCAAAGGTAGACTAGCCTTACAAACATCCTCATTACTTTTACTGCAGACTGAGTGTTATGCTGAAAATGTCTCTTAAAATAAGACTTTTTTAGAACTGTTGGACAACATTAAAGATCGGAAACATCTGAATTATATACTTGGATAAAAGAACAGGTTTTCTAATATAATATTTAATTTCTAAAAGCATGAGGAAAGTTAGTGATTCTCGTAGGAATTAATCATTGAAGCAATAGGTTTATAATGCACTTTGTAGTTGTGAATGTGGATTATCCAATGCAAGTGCTTAAATTTCTTTGGGTATACTTTTCTGAAGATTTTGTTCATACTTAGAGAATATAGTACAAGTTTAATAGCAAGTAGACTAGTCCTCTGAGTTTTAGATAGTTTTTTACCTTTCCCTCTCTGAAGTGCAGAGCCATTCTTTTTTAATTTAGTCATTAAATGGGAATTGATACTACTAACAGGAATTTTGGTGGTTGCAGATAGTAAGCTATGTAGGTACCAACGTCAGCATATGGGACCCTTTCAGTGATTAAAAAGATGTTAGCTCTGCCCTGGAATTTCTGCTCAGCTCTCCTCTGATTCATTTCCTTTTTTGTATGAGTGAAATTTGTAAATCAGTGAACCTTATATAAGAAACACAGACATGTGTTTTCATGTGAATGTATTTAAATGGGAAAAATGTACTTCCAGATTTTTCCATAATACCAGAAATAACTTCATCTCCCTTGCAGTGAGTGAGAGCTGGAACATGTTTTTTGTCTGCTTGAATACAAAATCTTATTGGTCACGGCTAATACAAAATAGTGGAGCTCCCTGTCCTTTATACAGCTGTAATAGATTCTCCCCATTGTATTGTAAAAAAAAAATTCTATTATATGCTATGCTGCAGTCATATAACACAAATGTCATTTTGGATACAAATCTGGATATTTTAGTAGTCTAGTCTAGCACTGTGTATTGTTGTTTACTGTCTTAATTTCCTGGCCTCAGGATTTGTTTATAAAATGTTCTTTCAGAGTTCTGGGTATTGTACCAAGAATAAATAAAACATAAGATAAAATATTTAAACTGTGTATTTGAGCAGGTGGGTATATTTGCTTTTCCCAGTACTACTCAAAATTATGCAATACAATTTCTACTCCCTATTTCAGCAATTAAAGTGTTTCAGGATAGTGTAGCAGTTATCCCTTAATTAAAAGAAATTGCAAGCTTTACTTGCTAAAAATGTCTGCTTGAAGAAATATTGGATTTTAAAATCGTGTCCATGAAGAGAGAAATCTCCAATATTTAGTCTGTTAAGAATTTTCTTTTAAGTTGTCAAGGCAGGAATACATTTAAGTAAATCATAAAAATGGATACTAGAAATTAAAAATGTAGCTCAGCTTTTAATGTTAGTTGATATATAGTTGTCAGGGGTGGAGTTAAATATTCAATTTAAATCTTCTTGCAGATCCTTATGCTCAGTATACTTTTCTTTTTAAAGAGGGTAGAAATAATTTGCTCAAGTGTAGAAATACGTTCTGTGGTGACTAATGCGGAAATTGAGGCACTGGGAATATAGTGAATCTTTTGGCTTAGGTTTTGTCTTAAAATTCTATCCATTAATATTAATATTTTTAGTTTTTCTGCTGTTACACAGTTGAAAAAGAATATTATGAAAATACAAAGCTAAAGCTTTCAATGTGCATTTAATTTTCTTAAATGTTTTACATTGTCATGCCATGTATGGTGTAGTAGTTTATAACTGCAAATTGCTTATATATTCTGAATATTCTAATACCCTGACATTTGTGGAGGTATTAATTTCACTGGGTCCATTTTGCTCTAGTTTGGTGATTTTTATGAAATGTGTTGGAAAGTCAGGCGATACCAAGAGTAATTAAACAAATACATATACAAATACTTACAGAGGAGTAAATGATGAGTTCAGTGGAAATGGAGTTGACTCCTTAGAATGCTGAAATTCACATATGATCATTTAAACTGACATGAAACAAGATAGAAAGGGCAGCATATTTCTGAAAGGGACTTGGCAGACTCTGTGAGAAAACTTTGTGTTCTAACCACTAGATGTCTCTTGAATTCCATATAAATACCTAATTTATCTTCCATCTTATTTGTGTTTCTTCTCCTTCCAAAGATTTCTCTTTGAAAACCAAAAATTCTGCTTCATTTATTTATTCCAAATCCGATGGTTTACCCAATACGTGAGTTTTCAAAGAGTTCAAGATTGCCTAAGATTGTAAGGGGTTTTTTCATTTAAAATTGAGCACAGTTCATTTTTCTTCTTTTCTTTCTGTCCATGCAGGAAGAATGCAAATTATCATGGCAGCAGTGAAGAATGTATCTGTTTTCTGAAGTCATAAATAATGTATATTCTCTTTTACCTTCCTGAAAACCCTACCCAGCATAAGACAAGTGACTCCTTTGTAAATACAGGGAACACAGGACAGAGCTCAGGACTACTTTCCCTCCCAAGTCAGCATCCCTGCCTTCAGTCATGCAGAAGGCAATGGTTCAGTGCTCTCATCTTATTTATTGCAATATTGGTCTTTATAGCTATGAAGAGGTGAGCAAAGTACATCTTACCTCTTTCCAACCTAAAGAGAAAAGTATCAGGCAACATGGAATAAAATCTCTTCTGTGAAAGTGCAAAGCATTTTAACTAAGTATATTTTTCTAGTAATAAAATGGAATGGAGCAGTCCATATTGAAATCTCAGTAGCTCAGCGCAGGATTTATCATGCAGATTCTTTCTGATGGTAGGTGTACAAGAAACCTTTGTGTGTGTCACATCTTACTGTCAGCTGCTTCTGTGATTCACCAGAGAAAACTGGTTTTGAGTCCATCCTCTGTCCACAGCAGATGTTTTGGAGTAGCAGTCCATCTGGAAAGTCTAACCGTGAACCTGTACACTTTACTAAATGTATGTATTTATGCAGGCATTTTTCCACAGGAAAGAGGAGGATTTTTCTGAGTGCTTTAGGCAAATGGATCAAGTTTTTTCTCAGTCCTTCCTGATTAATGACTTGTCTTGGATTTAACACAAACCAATTTCTTACACACTAGGAAAAAGTGTAGATGGTTGTTATTATGGAGCAGCTTTTCATTGCACTTTACCTCAGCTCCTAAGTCTGAGTGCAGTGTGCACAAATTCAAATGATGTCAAATACTTCTGCATATTGACAAGCATCTTTCTACTTGCATCTTTTACTTCTTATAATCTCTATTCATCTATAGAGTGTAGGTTTTTGGACAGAGGCTCTCTATTGTTCCGTGTTTGGGGATGCAGTGTATGCTGTGATGTCTTGCACTCACGTTTTCTCAAACTTGTTACTTTTGTATTGAAAAACTTGTTTGGGTGGAATTTAAGGGTTTTTATTAGTTGAAGTTAGAGTATTTTATTTCCAGCAGGACTGTCACATTCCCAGGCACAAGCATGCTGCCCTAATTTATGGTTGTACTGTGGAGGTGTGGGGTTACTTTACATGGGTGTGATAGCAATGACTTACTACAATACTGTTTTGTAAAGCTACATGCAAGAGACTGGAACATTTCTAGGAGGGACTTGTAAAGAAAAATGTGGGGGTTTTGTGGTAAATAAAATTCACACAGTGGCAGGATTCTCTGTGTCCATCCATTCTGAATTGCACAGCTTTTGCCCAAGGCCATGGAGCAGCCTTTGTAGAGGAATCTGTGGAAACTGTAGAACTTAAAGAATGTGGTTAAGCTTGAGGGTTTTAATGTCCCAAAGATGAGTCATAGGCTGACTGTTTCAGGATCAAGAAAGCATTGCAGGCTGCATCCTTATCCGTCACCTAACATGATGGCTGAGGCAATATACAGGTTACAGATGCTGAGAAAATAGAGACTAATTTTTGAGCAAAAAGGTCACCTGTTCACTTCATTGCAAATGGACCCATTGTAGGTTAGATTTATGCTACTATGTAATTCTAGGATAGCTTGTGGTTCAAAAATGGCTTCATTGAATTTAATAGAGGGAAGACATATTTTTTGAGCTTTTTTTTTTCCTTGGAAGAAATCTTCCTGCTTTGAGCTGGAAAGAAAAACCTATGGAATCACTGTTCTCAAAGTACATAGGATAGACTGAATAATTATAATAAAAATTGGTACTGTTATGTGTTTGGTAAGGGATCTTTGTCTTTTGAGATGGGGTACAAGAAACTGGCCAAGTCAATTGAGTTCTCTTAAGGAAGCCAACTAGTAATAACTGCAATGCAGATACTTGGAGTTGTATTGGGAAAATTTTTAATGGTATAAATGGCTTTATGGTGCTTACTCCTGATTGCTTTCAGATGATTTGCAAGTCTTGATGCTAAAAGCGTTTAGGGTCTATTATCTCTTGGATGCTGTTTGAGTGAAAATACAGCAGTGAGTTCATGATTTAAGACTGGATAGACTTTTGCCAATTTGTAGCTCCACAGTGTCTTATCACAAAAACAAACCCTGGTCTGTTTGCCACAGAAAAGTCTTGCTTACAATAGCTTTGATTCCTTTTCTCTGTACTTTAAAGATATGCTTGAAGACCTCTTTTCTTAAAATCTGGCATACTGTGCTGGCAGGCTGTAACTTACTTCATCTAACCAAGATGAAAGATCAGAGCAGTCTTCTGGGATGTCAGTTTGGAAGATACAATCCTGAAAACTCCTTGTCAGAAATTTGAATATTTCAGTAAATCCTTCTCTGTTTATAAAGGTTACGCTAAGGGAAAGACAGATGAATAGTAGCTAAGCTCATCTTACGAGTACATGAATATTGAATGCTTTAGGAAAATAAAAGTATTTTGAAATTCAAGAATTTTGAACATACTTATGTAAGCAAAAGAATTTGTATATTTTTCTTAGAAAATTTGATGTTTTCTGTTTCCTTAGGAGTTTCAGAGACGCTGCAATACTCTCATATCATTAATAGAAAAAGAAAATATGGAAATTGAAGAAAAAGAAAGAGCTGAAAAGAAGAAAAGAGGAGCGAAAGTTACAGCAGTATGTTTAACAGCACTTAACTTCCAGTGGGGCAGAATTCAATTATATTTTGTTAGAAAATGTAAAAGATAGGCAAAAGTAGGCATTGACTGCTTTAGTAGAAGCGATTAGGTGAGAAGTTAGACTGAAATATTTGTCTGTTCACAGCTGTCATAGATTTTTTTAGGTAGGTATTCCCAATTCATAGTATTTTCTGGGCTTTCCCCCGTTTTTTTAGAAGAGTCTTTTGTTTAAGTAGTAGAGGAAGACTCTCTTTAAGAGAAAGTTGCACTGCCTACTCCCTACCTACTTATGCACATCATATGTTTGCTTTAATTTCTTCTCAGATTGTTATTCCTCCCCTACACAGTAGTTGCTGGAAGAAGAAATTAGAACTGCTTGTATTTTGAAAGGTTGTCATCTTTAGAACAGAGTGTATAAGTCAAGGTCCTGATGTTCTCATCTAGTTGATGGTATATGTGGTATCTGCACCACTTGGACCATGTAAAGAACTCAAGAATATAAAAAAAGGAGCAGAATTTAGTGTCTACATCAGGATTTATGTTTGCCCTTCCATTATGTCCTATAAAGTTGAACTGAAATCTAGAACACATTAGGGCACATCTTCTTTTTGAATAGTCATTCATGTACTTAAATTTTTATTTTATAATGCCTCCATTCTGTTACATTCCTAATTTTTTTTTTCTCTTTAGTCACAGAAGAGAAAAGCAGATTTGGCTGCTGAGAACTCTGGAAAAAAAGATGCTAAGAAAGTGAAGTCGTGAACCTGAAAACTGAATGCTAAATATTAAACTGCCACTTTTTCACTCCATCTACAAGTATTAATTGCCAATTTCTTTGTATTCATGGTACTCTCCCCCAAATCCCATGGTTTTATTTTGCAATTTTTGTATACTTTACAATGCCTTTCTTTACCTACAATGTGTAGCTTTATATCTTACGCATTCCAGTATTTTTGTGTACTGTATTTTGTGAGTTTCATGTCTTGGGCAAAATTCACTCAGTCCTTGTTTTTTTGAGGCTTGTGCTGAGGTTTTAGCTTTTATATGTTTTATATGCTGCTGCTTTGAAAGAAAACCTAGATTCTATAGCTGTATTATTGTTGTTTCATATTTTAAATTTATATGGCTGTTGGAATATAAACTGACTTAATTATTT